TCTTTGAGAGCAGGCACCACTTTTTACTCATCTCTTCTTTTTCTCTCTGAGCTCTACAAAAAGTAGGTGCTTAATAAATGTGTTGAATCATGACTAATGTGAAAATATGTTTAATATGACCGTATATGTAGAGCCTATATCAGATTACACACAGTCTTGGGGAAGGGAGAGAGGGAGGGGGAGAAAATTTAGAACTCAAAATCTTATGGAAATGAATGTTGAAAACTAAAAATAGATTAATTAATAAAAAAATAAATATATTGAATCAATCAATTCTCCTTCCCTCTGAGCTCTATAAAAAGTAAGCGCTTAATAAATGTGTTGAATCAATCAATCAATCTGTGAGAGTGTCTCTTATTATATTTGGCCCATATTTATATCCCCATCACTTGCAAAATTGCCCTGTATATATAACAAAATTAATAGTATTGTTATCTATATCTATACATAATTAATACATGAAACTATATATAATTAATATTATTTTTGTTATATGTCCTAGCCAATTCCTTAAGACCATACATTTCAGAGCAGATGCTAATCTGCCTTGGTAGGGGAAATTTCTTCCCTGGGAAGTTTCCTTTACCAATGAAATCCCAGATGCCATTAAAAAAATGGCATTCATCCTAAGAGTTGCTGTTACTGAGTTATTTCTATCAAGTCCGACTCTTTGTGACCCCGTTTGGGGTTTTTTTGGCAAAGATCCTGGAGTGGTTTGCCATTTCCTTCTCCAGCTCATTTGATAGATGAGGAAACTGAGGCAAATAGGGTAGTGACCTGCCCAGGGTCACACAGCTAGGAAGTATCTGAGGCTGGATTTGAACTCTGGTCTTCCTGACTCCAGGCCTGGCGCTCCATCCACAGCACCACCTACCTGCCCTATCCTGAAAAGTATTTAAGGACAAAATTGAAAGGACAAGAGACGAAAAAACGGGAAAGAATTGTAAAGCCCTTTACAACAAACTCTCACCAAGGACAGCAAAATCACCACATTTTTTTTTCCCCTGTAACTTCCCAGTCCTGGATATGCTGCGTGAAGGAGCAGAAATGGAAGATGGGAATAGCAGCTAGACTAGACCAAGTCTACTGAAAGAAGATCCATGCTGGAAACAACACAATTTTCAGGACACTGTGGAAGTGATTCTCAAGATAAGGAAGGAAAGAGCGGAAAACACCAAAGGTATAGGGGGGAAATTCCCTCCAAGGAGACCAGAGCTGCTTTCTATGTGCTTTCTATATTAACAAGTTGTGCTCCATCAGGGCAGGAACTGTTTGGACTTTTTTTTGGTATCCCTGGCCCCCAGTGCCTGGCATGCAGTAGGTCCTTGATTAACTGATTATCCCAAGAAAGGTAACTAAGAGAGTGTCAATCACAACTGAGCCATCCATATAAAATTTTGTATAAGAATGACCCACACAGCCATGGAAGGCATCCTTAATGAGGTATGGGAAGGAAAAAGACTTTCACAAGAACTATGAGACAGTGAGAGTCATTGTACATAGAGATAAGGCCTGGGAACCAGGAAGACCTGGATTCCAGAACTGCCTCTGATAGTTGTTGCCTGTGTGACATCTGAGCAAACAGCATAACCTCTCTGAACTGCTCTAGTCAATGTCCATATTATAAATGACTGAGAAGATGCCTACCTGATTTGGTTGAGGGACTTTCCTTAGCTGAGAGTTCCCTCTAATAGTGAAATCATAAGTCCAGTGCCTGCTGCCTCCTATCCTATGGCACAGTAGACCAAAAGTTTATAATCATACAATTGAAAGGTGTAGAGAATGCAAGATTCTCATGGTCTTTTATCAACAAACTTATTAATCAACTTACCATCATGCCAAGACCCAGGCTACCATGAAACTTCCTGGCCATTTCCAAACCACCTCATAACCCTTCTTCTTAAGCCACCCTTTCCAATGTTGTCGTCCTGTATCAGAATGAAAGGGCCCCTGGCTGAGCAGCAACTGCCTGGTTAGCTTATTTGTGTATTCCCAGCACTTAGTACAGTCGGGGCCTGGCCTACAGTAAGCACTTTTTCATTGATTCCTGCATTCAGCGCCTGCTATTTACCAAACACTGAACTAAATTTGGAGGCTGCCATACAAAGAAGGAAACAAGGTGCCTTCTAGGCAGATGTCAAAATCATACAAGATTCCCTGAAACCTGTAACAACAGAAATAACCTTGCTGCATATGGCTCTCTGATTATTAGCAGAGCTCCCAATATTAAGTACAGACAGGCACCTTCTAACTCAAGTGCAGATAACTCTTTTCAATAATTAAGCCGTCTCCCTTCCTGGGGCCCCTACCCTTAATCTCCATTTGTTAAGAAAACATCACCAAACAATGAAACATCCTGGCAGTGAGCCCCTGGGGTTTGTAAGTCAATCTGAAAGGGTTTGCTGGAAATCCTGGGCAGAACCTTTAACCTACTTAGTTCTATTAGTAAGGGGAGCAAATTGAATTCTCCAGGATCAGGAAAGAGTTAGAGACCACCTGGAGGAACCTAAGGTGAAGACGGGGCGAGCGAGCCTGTGGCTTGCCCCGGGGCCCCAAGGCCAGGTGGTGGTGGTGGATTACAGGTTTCCTGACTCCCTGTTGTAGTTTGCCTGGTGTTATTTTCACCGTATCTCCCAAACACTGGAATCTTGATGTGACTTGCTCCTCTCCCAAACATTCCACGATAAATGGGTCTTATTCCCAATCAAATATTTCTCCTTTCCCCCTCTCCCCATCAAAGAGCTTTCTTTCAATGTGGTTCATTTAAGATCACTGACGGGGCTCCTCTAAAGTGCTGGCAGAACTCTGAACACACACACACACACACACACACACACACACACACACACACACACGCACACACACTGCAAGAATATTGAAACTGATCACTAAAGGTCCACTCTGCAGCAAAGAGGAGCCAACCGACCCCAGTAACCACTAGGTTCCTCTGGCAGCTCTGCCCTGGGCCTCACCAGGAGTCTTTGCCAATCCCTTTAGCATTTCTTTGTTCCTTTTCCCCTAGTGGCCACTGAGTCCATCCAAAATAAAGCTGCATGACACAGTGAAGGAACACTGGTTCTGAAGGCAGAAGTCTTGAGTTTGAATCCTGCCTTCAAGACCAGGACTACCTTTGCAGTCTTCTTACACAATTTAGTCACACAATCCGTACAATCCAGCTACCCTGGCCTATCTGCAGTTCCTGGAACATGAGTTCATCTCCTTTCTCCAGGTCTTTGTACTGGCCGTCCTCCAAGCCTGGAATGCCTCCCCCTCCCACCCCCTCCACCTCTTCAATTTCCCAGGCTTCTTTTAAGATTCACTCAGCTCCAAGCGCATCTCTGTGGGGCGTCTTTCCCCCTAGCTGCTAATGCATTCCGCTTTCTGATTAGCCTTAAATGCACCTAATTAATTAACGTGTTGTCTGCCCCACTCAAAAAGGAACTCCTTGAGGGTAGAGACTGTATTTTTTTTTTTTAATCCTTGGTGTTTAGCACCGTGCGGTCCACAAAACTGACTCTTAATAAATGTTTATTGATTGATCAATTGATTGATTAACTGCCTTGGACAGTTACCGACATATGTAGCCTTGGATGAATTCTCTTCACATTCCTGGGGCTAAATTTTTCTCATCTGTAAGATGTGGGTGTGGAGGAGACTGGGTATTGGACCAGAGACCTTTGGAGGGCTCTTCCAATGATCCTTTGTGTGACTTTAGACAAGTCATTTCTCCTCCTTGGACCTCAGTTTCCTTCTTGGTAAAATGAGGGGTTTGGACTGAGGCTCCTTCCTGCCAAATACCTAGGATTCTAGGCAAAAAGAAGCTCCGAAGAGGGAACAAAAAGGGCAATTATTACATCTTTAAATTTAATATATATTTATGCTTAATATACTTTTTTGGTTTGGTTTTTAAATTACTTTTAAATTTATTATTTATTTTTAACATTCTTTTTTTTTTTTTTCAGTTTAGAGTTCCAAATTCTCTCCCTCCTTCCAGGTCCTCCATCACCCAGTGAGAAGGCGAGCAATATGATATCAATTTTACATGTGAAATCATGCAAAACATATTTCCGTAAAACTTAATATACTTAAAAAAACCAAATTATAGATAACAAATTCATGGTGTCATATATAACCCCCCTATTTTGTTGTTAGCATATTGGTGGGTTTATGTTTGTTAAAGCTTGTTAGGTTCATAATTAGAAAAATAATTTAAAAAGGACTGATGAGGGATGTCTCTCTTGATTGGCTGAGAGGCAATGGACTGAGGTGTGGCGTAGGTTAAGTCTTCCAAACAGGCCAATGTGTTGAGTTGTTTTGCTTGACAGTATTTGTTATAAAGGAAGGCCTTGGAGGGAATGGGGGAGGAGGGGAACGAGTTGGTCCTTGAGCCTAGTGGAAAGTGATAGATGAGAAATAAAAAAGACAAAGAAAAGATCGTCAATAAAACCCAAAAAATACACCAAAGAAAACACAAAGTTCAGTAGGGGCTCCATGGGGCAGTTTGCGCACTGCCCTTTTAAATGCGATATAAGTTTAAAAAAAAAAAAGGAATTGTAAATAGCAGAATATGAGGTTTCATATGCGATACTTAAATTTAAATATATACAGGAATGGTAGATCGTTGATGGTGAAGGTCAAACTAAAAGATAATTTTGTTAAAAAGGAAAATTTCTGACTGGAGGAGAAAGAGGGATTTCGGTGTGGCTGGCCTTTTCTCGGTCCGGCCGGCCCTTTCTCTCGGTCCGGTCTCAACGTCGGGGTCCCAGCAGGGGTGGGGGTGCAGGGACGGTAGGAAGGACTGCAGCGAGCCCACAGGGCCAAGGGCCGCACTTCCAGCCCCAGCCCCGCCCCGGGCCTCCACCCTCGCCTTCCCTCCCTCCCTCCCTCCCGCCCGCCGGCCGCCAGATGCAAGGGGAGCCCCAGGGCCGTGGGGCGTCCCGGCTGCCCGCGCCCGCGTCGGGCCGGAGCCGGGCCCAAGGCCACTGTCACTAGCCACCGCTATGGCTACCTGGCGACGAGACGGGCGGCTCACGGGCGGCCAGCGGCTGGTGTGCGCCGGCCTGGCCGGGGTGCTCAGCCTCAGCGTCACCGCCCCGCTGGAGCTCGCCACTGTCCTGGCCCAGGTGGGCCGGGGCCCGGGGCAGCCGCAGGGCCCGTGGGCCGCCAGCCGCAGCGTCTGGAGAGCCGAGGGGCCCCGGGCCCTGTGGAAGGGCAACGGCGTGGCGTGCCTGCGCCTCTTCCCCTACAGCATTCTGCAGCTGGCTTCCTACCGCAAGTAAGGGAGGCTGGAGCTGGGCCCGGGCCGCTCGTGGGGGGGGGGGGGGGGGGGGGGGGGGGGGGGGGGGGGAGCGGCCGGGGGGGGGGGTGGGGGCGGGGAGGCCCGGGCCGAAGTCCGGGACCCCGGGGGGCCGGGAAGGCTGTTGGTCTTCCCGGGTACTTCGGCCAAAGCCTTCTAGGAGCTCATTAGGAGAATCATAGATTTAGAGCTGGGAGGGACCTCAGATCATCCAGTCCTGCTCCTCACAGCTTGGGAAACTGAGGCCCAGGGAGGGCTCAATTGACTTGTCCACAGTTACCCATAGGAGCTGGGTGTCCACAGTTACCCATAGGAGCTGGGAGGGACATCAGAGGCTGTCCAATTCCAACTTAACCTCCTCACACCTCGGGAAATTGAAGCCCAGAGAGGGGTCAAAGTGATGACTTGTTAGCAGGTTTCCCATAGAATCCTAGCCCTAGTGGTGGGGAACCTCAGAGATCCCCTAGTCCAACAATCTCCTTGACAAATGGGGAAATTGAGGTCCGAAGCTCGGAAGTCACTTGCTCAAGGTAACACGGCTAATAAGCATCAGAGGTGGGATCCTTATGACCATTCCCAGGGCTTAGTCAATTGATCTCAATTCATTAAAGAATTGTGAGAACTATTTTGGGGCATCCTCCAAAACTTGGCCTGTTTCTAGCTGTAGATAGGTTTTTTCTGAGTTTTTCCAAGTTTTATATTTTTCTTCTTGATACAAGCAGGGAGTCACCCAAGCCATTGACAAAACACAAGAAAGGTTTGATTTAAAGAATTACCATCTATGTGGATGTGTTTGGATTGTCCTCTTTGGATAAAAACATTTATAAAAACCATAAGCCTTTTTTTTTTTAAACACACTGTATTAGCCCTAGGACTGCTAGGTGGCTCAGTGGATAGAGCATCATCCCTGGAGTCAGGAAGACCTGAGTTCAAATCTGGTCTCAGACACTAGCTGTGTGACCCTGGGCAAGTCACTTCACCCTGGTTGCCTCAGTTTCCTCACTTGTACAATGAGCTGGAGAAGGAAAGGGCAAACCACTCCAGTATCTCTGGCAAGAAAACCCCAGATGCAGTCCTCAAGAGTTGTACAGGACTGAACAACCACAAATATTAGCCCTGCCTTCTAGGATCATATATCCTCCCCAGGAAGAAGTGCACATATCCAAAGATACACAGATTAAATAAAAAATACATATGCAGTAGTTTAGGGAGAGAAGGCACTATAGATTTCAAGACAACAAGTCTTGAAGGAAAGTGAAGGATCCTCCCAGGCAGAGGTGGGGAGAGAATCCATTCTGGGTATGCAAAGGCAGGGATCAGAAATGGAGTAGCCAGGTCAGTTTGACTGGAGTAATGTACCTCAGAAGGTAGGTTGGGGCCAAGATGTAAGTACTCAAATAGTTTACATTTGATCCTAAATACAATAGAGAGGTGGGGGAGTTTATTGAGTAGGAGAGTGGAAGGACCAGAAAATTCTTTTGAAGGAAGAATTAGAAGTAGGGAGAGACTTGAGGCATGGAGACCATTCAGTAGTTCGAATATGAGGTGATTACGGCCTGAAGTAGGGTGCTTGTTGGTTGTGTGGGTAGAGAAAAGGGTAGAGAAGGAAGGCATACTGTGTAGGAGGCAGAAGTAGCAATATTAGGCAACTGAATGGATACTCTCCTTGTAGATAGGGTAGTATTCAGCTAGAATATAAGCTCTCTGAAGGCAAGCATTCCTTTAATTTTTGTAGAGGCAGGTACGTGGCCTGAAGGATAGACCTGGACCTGGAGTCAGGAAAACCTGAGTTCAAACAGGGCCTCAGACACTAGCTGTGTGACCCTAGGTAAGTCACTTACACTCTCAGGCTCAGTTTTAGTCATCTCTAAAATGGGGATGATAAGAGCACCACCCAGGGTTACAGGAGATCAAATTTGTAAAGTGATTTGTAAACCTTAGAGCACTAAATGAAATTGGCTATTATTATAGCCCCTGCCTGTGGCATGTGGTAGAAACTTAATGATTGTTTATTGAATTGAATTATTCATTGAGTACTTTTATGCAAGGAGAAGTAGGGGGGCTATAGAGCCAGTCCCAGGGTTGGCGTTTCACCTCTGACATACACTGGCTACCTGATGGAATTTCTTAGTGTCTTAAAATAACAGACCAGGTTATTGATAGAGGGAATTCATTACATCTTAGAAGTTACAGATCCAGGCCAATTTACCCCCTCACCCCTCCCAATTTTACACAGGATACTAGGCCAGCAGAGGTAATGTAAAAGTGAGAAATACCTAGGCCCTACCATGCAACACATATTATTATTATTAGTAGTAGTAGTAGTAGTAGTAGTAGTAGTAGTAGTAGTAGTAGTAGTAGTAGTAGTAGT